TGAAGCGGAAACAGAGAATACAGAGATGTTCTGTACCTGCACATGGCGCCCAACACTAATACAAGTGCCTCATTTCCAATTGGCTACTTAGAAGATTTCCTCACCCTTATACAGAATATCCTACTTGACACCATCAACGAAACCACGTGATTCCCACAGCCGTGAGCTATAAGCACAGGTTCTACCTCAACTGGCAAGTCCACCTGCAAGCCTGACTTAACCATGACACTGACTGCGTTTGACTCCAATTTTTCAAAAGGACTCTCAGCTTCAAGTCACATTCATATGCCTGCAGCATGAACAAAGCAATGTAATATAGTATTTCTGCATTTTCAGTTTACTTCGATCCGTCCCCAAAGAGCGCGAATCGCGATCATCAGAGTTTGAAACTGGGCGGTCATAATATGAACTCCAGGATCGGCGTTTCGGCGTTTCTCTGCGTTATGCTGTACGGCAGATGGTTTGATAGTCGATCAACTAAGCCAAGGTTGTCTTCGAAAGAATTCAGAAAAACCTCTAAGCATGGTGCTCGAGGATCGAATCGGACGTAGCAAGAACAGGCCAATAAACCTCTACCCAATGAGTCACCGACCGGCTTAATGTGGATATAAAACCTCTTAAATATAAGCTACAAAGAACAATGGAAACAACGAATCCACGACATCCTCGAGTGTTCTCTGCGCTGAATAAACAGTGGATTCTTTGCTAACCCATGAAGGGACGCAACTCAAGACCAAGGTCAGCACTTCGGATTCACGTGATACTGAAATGATGTCACTGTCAGCGGATGTGGGAAGTGTTGCTTTGTTTACCTTTCACTCTTCGAGACATATCGAACAAGCATTTGGCGTTTTCTGGGTGCTTTCAGTACGAACAATGTGACGCCACGCGCCGATTATTGGACGGAATATTATGACCTGCAGTAGGCCGTGCCATAGCTCAAACGGTTAGTCGCTGGCTTCCCACCGCGGCGGCCCGGGTTCGATACCGGGTCTGGTCAAGTGGGATTTGTGGTGGACAAAATGGAGCTGGGGCAGGTTTTTTCCGAGTACTTCGGTTTCCCTTGCCAATCTTCATTCCACCAATTGCTCCACAATCACCCTCACCTATCATCTGGGGCTGGTACAATAGGCCAGAAGTGGCCGCAGTACAAGGGACTTAGTCCCACCCACTAGCAATAAAAAAAATGGCCTGCAGTACATTGCTAGTTACCGTTTTTCAATGCCTTCTTGAGCCGTTTAATAGTTACTCACATTGGTAAAAAAACATTTTCCCGTGTTTCTGTAACATGAGGTTATTTTTTATTCTTAATACACAAAGGTTCGACATTGTATTATCAAAGTTCATACCTCCACAAAAGATGTATGTTAAAGTTAATATTTTAATACTGCTTTCGTATCAATGCCTTGTTTCGCCAAGACGTGTCTCTCTTCCTTTGCCGCTTAACAGTAATATCTCAATCACAATAACGTGTTCTGGCCAAATGGCATTTTCCTACAGCCTACAGCATTTACACAGCTACGAAATTACTAAGCATTATAACAGGCTAACTTGATAGAAGTTATTAACCGTGTAATAACATATGTGACCACGCAGTTGCTTGCCAACCACATGTGATTGTTTTGAACTCATGGTACGGCTTCAGAAATGAATATTAGTCAATCTTCTTTTATAAAGGCTCTGCTGCGTGGAAAGTTCGTACCTAAACACCTACTGCATGCCATTTGCGTCTATTTTAAAATTCCAACTCTAGCGATTCTACTGTCACGTGCACCCACAAATGACCCCGCAGTAGCAGTGAGTTCATGTGCATTGTGCGTTCGGCGCCTGCGCCAATCGTGCGTGCCATACGCATGTTGCCAACTGTCTGTAGTGTAGGTATTGCCTTCTCTGTGTATGCTGCCATTCACGACTGGTTAATTTACGAGTGTTCATACAATATGAGCCCTTCCGATATGACGTCACACAATACGAATCGCAGATATGAAGAAGTCGAAGTTTTCAGTTAGAATGGGAAGAAACAGCTGTCCCTTATCTTTTTCAATATAAAGTTATCAATTCAAAATGTCACTGAGAAAAAAAAATCACCAAGCGTTTTCGTTCGAATTTTCTCTCAAACCTGAATTACATAAAAACAAGCTTGTTGCCTTGAAATCAGTCTTGCGCAGTCTGCGAATACTACTTTCCCCATTCATTACAGACGCTGATCCAGCGACCAAAGCTGGTCGTATTACTTCATGGAACACTGATCATGCTACACGCCCGTATGCTAATGGAGCATTCGCTAAGAAAAATATTATAGAAGCTACTGCCAGAAACCAAGTACCCACAACTTAAAGAAATCAGTTGTCGACTTGAAGAAAGCAGTCTTCTGGGATGTGGCGCCGTATAGATATTGTGTTAACCGACGTTTCGGAGGAAGGTATCGCCTCCGTCTTCAGGGTAGAAAATAAGAAATCCGTGAGCGAACCAGCGTGAGCGTCGGTTAACACAATATCAACACAGCTTCAGGTACAACATGCTCCTATGAACCACTTACGGCGAGTTCTGTGCTGAAACAGGGTGCCAACACTCACCTCACATGAAAGGCTTCTTCGTCCCGCAGCAGCAAGTTAGCAGCATGGCCGTCCAGGGGAAGAAAACAACCCTACAGCTAACAGCAAAGTCACATTCGCGCTACTATTTGCTCATTCGGGACAAAACAGTGAGGTGAGTGCAACGTACATAAAGCGTTCCTTATTCCCACCATTACTGACACTCTTTACGCCAAGTTAGTAATGTGAACACAACTTCAGTTCATTTTCAAGGTGATATCATTTTTACAGAAAATAATTTCGCATTACTGATTTATCATTAACGAAAAATTAATGACGTGAACGAAGACTAAGTCTGGCTTTGATTCCATATTACTTGTTCATAAACGAACAAAATTCACATATGTAACACTAGACACTGCTTTTAAGCTGTGTTTTGTAAGTAGCCATGGTTATGGCCGCGCCACAGCTCAAGCAGTTAGTCGCTCGCTTCCCACCGCGACGGCCCGGGTTCTATCCCGGGTCTGGTCAAGTGGGATTTGTGGTGGACAAAGTGGCGCTGGGGCAGGTTTTCTCCGAGTACTTCGGTTTCCCCTGCCAATCTTCATTCCACCAATTGCTCCACAATCACCCTCACCTATCATCTGGGGCTGGTACAACAGGCCAGAAGTGGCCGCAGTACAAGGGACTTAGTCCCACCCCACTAGCAATAAAAATCCATGGTTATGCAACGCACTACTGCCTGCGGCTCCGACGTCCCGTACGTTTTGCCATCCTTGCAATATACACGTATTTATTTCCCCTCCAGGTTCAACGTAAATTTCAAAACGTCACTGCGTGAAACAGTCACACAAATCACATATGATTATTTTGTTGTGGATTTATATTCATCATAACACGATTACAATTTTGCATGTCCACTTTGCCGATGGTAGCGCTGATTTTCCTGCTGTTTCCGGGTTATGTTTCAACGGGCACAGTAAATAACGAAAAGGCACCAAAAACTGAAGTTCTGCTTCTATTGCCTATTTATCTTGTATTGTGTACTGATGATTTTAATTACTTTTAGCTACTCCTGTTTACCGACACTGACAGAAATACGATGGGAGGCACGCGGCAGCGTAGTTGGTTGAGGCACTATGGTACAAGCCGGAAGGTCGTGGTATCGAATCCCGATGAGGTCATTATTTTTTTTTTCATTTTACCTAATCCTTCCAGCCCCACTATGGGCCTGGGGTCGACTCAGCCTCTAACAGAAATGAGTACGAGGAATATTATTTGAATGTAAAGGGCTGACAACCTCACCGCCATCTGTGAGCCGACTGTCTAGAAAATGTGCGAACCTTAACATCTAACAACCCTATGAGCCTCCACGGCCTGTTACAGGGATACCTTAATTTTTTTTTTTTGAAACACGATGGGATTCTACAGCATAAAAATGAGTTTCTTTCACGTTTGAAAATATCGTGTTATGTACTTCCAGTTCTCTCGTGCGTGATGCATGTCACGCCCATCTCATCAACACTGAACACAGGCAGGTGAAGTGGCTCGTGAGAATGTACGCTTCTCCATTCTTGTTTTACTTTATTTCTCATAGCTCCTGGCTCCTCCTCAGCTGCTGATGAGGGTCATGCAGTTCTGGGTGAAGAGAACTCATTCACTACAAGGCTCAACACCACTAACGCCGCTAGTGGACACGATCCTAAGCCAGTTAACATCCTCTGAACACTAAAATCTACAAATCATTCAAACAGACTGAGACAACACTCTTAAGGCAAACCGTAAGAACGTTACAATTACAAGTAACTGCATCAGTACAGCAAAAACAAAGTGTTACTGGTCTGAATCCAAAGTTCCATGCATGTTAGCTGGGCAAACAGGGCCGTGCCAGCTCCAGTGTTACTTGATTGGTGGTATTACATGGGAATTACACTCTGCGTGTGCCACACGATAAAACTGGCCTGTGTCCAAGCACGGTACGGCTAAGAGTACAGAGGACTTCAGCAGTTGGAGGTGAGTGGTCAGTTTCACGCTCTGGCCGCTTTACACTTTCGATAAAAATGGTATCATTGGACATGAGTTGCGTGAATCTATGGTTACTCTTGTCTTGATTACGGAGCGGAAGCGAATCATGGCGCAGCCAGTCGCTTTACTCTCTAACCTTTCCATTCATTAGGATTTAGAATAGTCTCTGTATCTAAACCCCTGGGTGTACAGAGGAATTTTGAATCACGCTTCTGCCGCTTTAACCCCAAGCACTCTGTACCCATTTCACGGAAGGCCGGTGTGGACACAGTACTGCCCCTGCCAGAGCCAGCACAGCTTGAGGGAAACTTCCTGTGGCAACCAACACACTAACATCAAAACTTGCGGACTCAGCACAAGTACTACTGGCTACAACAAAGGTCAATTTGTACAGCGGATGAATTAGTTGTAAAACATGGACAGGCCAAATGCTTGCCCTACCTGTGTTTCTCAGGCGATGTGGCCCGACTGGGACCTACAAGGACAGGTCCCTGCGGGGCACTGACACCGAGAGAAGCGTCCTCTGAAGCACTGGGCTCTCGGGGGCGGCAAATGTGCCTGCTCGAGGACGCGAGAGCCCGGGCCAGCCCAGTGAAACTGAGAAGGAACAAACCAACATTACACTTCTGTGATCCTCGCAGGCGGGTTCATACCATTCATATTGTGGATCAACAGTACAAGTCGTTGTTAAGGTTAATATCACTTGAGGCTCTATCGGCCCACTATAATCCACGCTTCATTCACTTCTCGTGCATGTCTAGTCCTAGACTGCTCAGTTGGTCTTCTAAGGAACCCGAAGGTTCATCACGATCATAGTAGAGCGCCCCACTAGACCCCATTTTGGGCCCAAGTCCACCAAGAAATCCGTTCAAGCCTAATGACCTGAATGACACAGCTGAAACACAATTCACCATTTCTCTAGGATGACTCATCAAGTGAGATAAAATCGCACATTGCATTACAATCTGTAACTTCTATGTGCCGTGTGCATATAAATACGCAGATACCGATGAACAGGGATATATACAAAGAATCAGAAGGAAAATGACAGATGCATGCATGTCTTGAAATGCTGTTAGCTGCCGTCATTCGTGTCATGAAGACTTCATCTTGGTATCAGTTTTACAGACATACTGCATAAACAAACGCTCCGACCTGAAACAACTGCTGGCTCTTACAGGTTATCAATGTTATGACGAAAAAAGAGGCTGTACCCACCTCTTTGCATGGCACATTAATCTTATTTTTAATAAAGGAATGACCACATAAATCTTCGGCTTCAAAATCCGAATAAACTGTAAGAATTTCTGCATAATGAGTATCCTGCATGCCGACTCAAATTCAAAACAACTCCGTCGCGTTTGATATATTCAAAACATGATGGCCGTTGATCTCGAGATGAACACTTCTCTACACCGTGTGAAAGGCCCTATGCAAACACAACATGAAATAGTGATCACGTCGCTACGAAATGCGAACTTTGAGTTGCACCAAAAATCACGGACAACTTGTAGCCCAAAAACTAATCTCATGAACGAAAAAATAAAAATGAGGATAGTTCCTGTTTGGAAACTGTTCTGGGAGAAGACGCAGGAAAGGGTTAAGACATTCCCCGAATCACGGCAACAGAAGGCAACTACAAGAACTGCATTCTCCCACCAACACGGCATATTAGAGTAACGGTATATCCTTCACTGCTTTTGCACCCACCCGCTCACGCTGGTCCCTGCCCTGAAGATGCAGCAGGTACATTCCTCCGAAAAGTCGGTTCACACAAGATCTACACGGCGCCACATCCCAGAAGACGGCATCCTTCATGTTTTCATCTTGTTTCGATAACTACTAATCATATCGAAAAATGTTTTTAGTAAAGTTGTAACCTTGATCTTAATGACAGCTGTACTTCATCTCATGTTACGATGCCTCATACTCACAGAGAGTGAAATTCGAATTGATTTTCACGTTCGGAAGGTGTTACACTGGATCTATATGGAACAAAATGAAATAATTCGTTAGATAAAGTGCAGATCCCCAATACCGAATTTTATCGAAACGCCTATGTACGAACATAGCAACCGGCACGACGTACCCCACAAGGCGTTAACTTTATGGCCCAAACACAATTAAATCTCAAGATCATAAGTGACATCTATGCTTCACGTACGTCGATAAATTTTACACGAACGTGAAGTGATGAGAGGAGACACGAAAGCAGCCAGATATGGCATTTACCAGCTTTGTCGAACAGTCGCATTCAGAATACATCTCGCATTAAATAACAGGGACCCTGTGCAGACAGCACGCCACAATAAAACACACGATCACGTGATCGTTTGTCAATGATTAACTCACCCATATCAGGAAATACGCGCCACTTCGTTCGTCGCTTTTGTTGGGACACCTGTGCTGTGACGTCACAATACATCTCACTGTTCCTAGAAGCCCGAGGACAACACAGCATTGAGAATACACTGAACTGAGTTCCTTCAGCTACCAACAGTCAACAGCTTTCCTACGGTTACGGAACTGTAAGCTTTTATTGCCGTGTTCGGTCCATCCCGCTGAGTCCACGAACTCGTTCACACCGCCACGTTCGTTAGTTATACTCTCATTAACGGCAAAGTCTCCATTCATGGCCAATTGTGCAGCTACTCAAGAATTTCCCAACATTTTATGGAACCCGAAGGTTCATTACCGTGTTCACAAGAGCCCTCCACTGGTCCATATCCTGAGCCAGATAAATCCAATCCATATCATCCCATCCTATCTCTCTAGGATCCATTTAATACTGTCCACCCACCTACACCTTGGTCTTCCCGGTGGTCTCTTTCCTTCTGGCTTTCCCATCAATATCCTATATGCATTCATCTTCTCCCCTATTCGTGCTACATGCCCTGCCCACCTCATTCTCCTTGACTTAATCATTCTACTTATACTTGGAGAAGAATACAAGTTATGAAGCTCCTCATTATGCAGTTTTCTCCAACCTCCTGTCACTTCATGTCTCTTCAGTCCAAATATTCTCAACACCCTCAGTCTATGTTCTTCCCTTAATGTCAGAGACCAAGCTTCACACCCATACAGAACCACAGGCAAAATTATAGTTTTGTATATTCTCATTTTTATGTTTTTTGACAGCGGACGAGAGGACAAAAGGCTCTGGACTGAATTACCCGAGTTCAATCTCCTCTTAATTTCCTCCTGAATCAGGTTTTGATTTGTTATCGTCGTTCCCAAATATGAGCTGTGCCACATTTTCAAAACATCTGCTTCTTATATAAACTGAACACTAAAAACTAAGATACGTTCAAATACGTGCCGAACAAAAAATAAAGCAAGGTTTTAAGATTACGACATTCCTGCATGTGACACCGTGTAATTTTCGTGCATAGGTACCAAAGTTTTGGAAGAACGCACTGTCTCTATCTTCGGGGTTAAATGAATATTCTTCCGAAATGTTGCTACCTATCTGCCAGACTTCACAGCGTCATGTACCGAATTGCGGTAATGTTAGTACTCACCGCCTTGAGAAGTTCAAATCTGAAATGTGTGTTTTCTCACTCAAAATCAATCAAGTGGACGACTTTAATGAAGGGCATTAGAAAGACGAACGCGATCCGTCATATAAACAGGGATGTGCTCATGTAAGCAAATACTCCGTACTGTGCCACTTTAGTTTAAGGCTGTTCTATGCAGTGGAACATTAGGCAGAAGTCACTGTGGTGCCTTAACTCCCAGTACTAACACATTTAAGACTGGAGGTCGCAAGTCCTTATGAGGGGGAACTTCACACGGATAATTAATCTAGTTGCCTGACTGACTAGTTAATTTCGCTTATCAGTAGGATAGTTGATAGCTGGTTTGTTAGTTAATTTGGTTTTTACTAATTGGTTGGTTAGTTGCCTACTTAATTTGGTAGTTTCGTTTCACCGTTGACTGGTTGGTATTCAACTCTTGTGCGCCTTATGTTATGACTAGACTAGACAGCGTCAACAGGTAGATGATTAACAAACGATGTATTGAAAGGATCTGGAAGAAATCGATGATGGTCTTAAGCGAAATACTATCCCAACATTTGTCTGGACGGGAGGAAGCAAGCCAGTGTCCCGACCGAGCTTCGAACTGAACACCTCCAGAACATAAGTCTGGAGCGTTTTCGCTACACCAGCTGACTAGGTGAAGCTTATAATAATGAGTCCGTCAACGAATTATTGTGAATAAATATTTTTTGTGTGAAAGGAAACAAATTACGCTTCCGAAAACAGCCATTCATACATGCAACCTCCTGTGCAGAACTCAGAAGGCAGTTGTATCAATACATCAGTCGCGTCATCACGATGATCGTACAACTTCTAGAGGGCAGCACTGTGGAAGGAAACCGTTGCTGCAGGCTGTTTATTTCGAAATATTAAATGCTTCGCCTCGCTGCACAGTTTGTTCAGGGCAGTTCTGTTCTCTTTTTTGTTAAATGCATCCACGGACGCTTGCGAGTGGTTTATGTCAGCACCGAAGTAAAAAAACTTCTGAACGGATTTCGTAGAAATTTGGCGTTGGCCGTCTAATCTAAGAGTTGGCACACAAGTTACTTTTGGCCACTGTCAGACCACTACCAGCCCTACTTCATACACAACTCATAACGGCTCAATGTGCAAGAAACTGGTTAGGAACTAAGTAACTTTGATGTGCTATGATTTTACAAGGCCAGTTTCCCACCCAATGAGTACGGCGGTAATTGTTACCGGGGATTAAGCAGCCGCGACCATTTCCACCTAGTATTGCGCTCAGTCCGTTATTCTACACATCCATTCTCCCATACGTCTTCAGGACGTGACGTTGATTTAAGCACCAGGGCCATTTTCCTACTTGATTACGCCTTTAGCACAGAACAGAATGTATCTGTGAGACAAGAAAGCTCAGTCAAAACAGTGTTGGTTGGATATGTACATGACGAGCAACCGCGATTCCCGCAGAGGTGAGATCTGTTCTATTCACAACCACGCTTCTAGATACCTGCCATTCTGGTGAGCAAGCGAGTTGCAAAGGACGCATGCGTGCGACTCAGTACCCACTATCTGCACTGTAATTACACTCGACGACCTCGCTGGTTCTGCCTATTATCCTGTCACTGTCTGACAGACTGCTCGGCGGCTTAACGAAAGGACTGAGAGACTGGTGGACGCCTGACTTACCGACCGTGACGTCGACAATGGCCTGAATCATGGCTGATTTAACTGCCCAGAGGAGTCTGGAAATGTGTGATAAATGAAGTTCACGCATTAATTAAAAACAAAGCCGTTTAATGCGATTTTCGGTTCCCCCCGAGCCTAGAGTTCGTTTATTTAAGTACGGTACAGAGGTATCAAACTGCAGTGAGACAGAAACAGTTTTGAGCGCTATATTATAAATACTCTCACATTCGTGCAGTCACTGCCATCTTTAGGGGCCGTTAAATGGTCATCGCGTTAATGTTAACACCATAATACAGAGTGGCCCAAAAGTCAGTCAACCTAAAATATTTATTCGAATTAACTGGAATGCTCAGATTTCAAAGTGCCAGCAAATTTGTGGAACGGTATAACAGGGTGTCGAGCTGCGGA